TTAAATTCTATTTTTTCCTATAACTTCCTAAGCCATTATACAACATTAAATTAAATTAAGTAACATTAAACAATATGAAACAACATTAAATAACATTAACCAACATAAAAATTAACCAACAAAAAACTTAAAAGCCTACTCCATGCTATTTTTTGCCCAAAGATATGCAACAAGATCCTGTTGTAGGTATGGTACTTGTTTGTGGCACGGGAACATATCATTCTATAGCGTTTCATGTACTTATTTATAGAGATACTACCAGTTCTTGGAATGAAAAGCAAATTATGTCCATCATATATTTTTGCACAAGCCCTTCTTGACCTATTTGGATCTTCTTGGTTATCATCGGACTCTCCATCAATATTCCCATCTCGCTCATCCTCCACTATCATATTATGTAATATGATGCAAGACATCATGATGGAGTCCAAATTTTCTCGACTCCACCCTCTTGCCAGTTCTCTGATGATCTTCTACCGTGCTTGTAGAATACTAGAAGCTTCTCAACATCTTGCCGGTATGCCTCTTGGTGTAAGGTAAACAAATTTTTCGCGTCATTCCTAGGGTTTGGAATTGCTTGGACAAGTGTCACCCACTTTGGGTAGATACCATCTGCCAAGTAATACCCCATATTGTATTGACGACCGTTGATGTAATAGTCAAGTTGAGGTGCTTTACCTTTCGTCAGGTGATTGAAGAGGGGTGAACGCCCAAGAACTGTAATGTCATTTTGGGATACAGGGACCTCAAAGAAAGCATGCCAGATCCATGTGTCATATGAGGCAACAGCCTCTAGCACAACAGTTGGTTTTCTCGACTTTCCGTATAAGCCTCATTTCCATCCAGTGGGACAGTTCTTCCAATCCTAATGCATGCAGTCTAATGACCTTATCATGCCCGGAAACCCACGGTATTCAGCTTTGCGAATAAGCCGATTCAAATCTTCTTAATTTGGCTCGTTGAGGTACTCATCTTTGTAAACCTGAACAATTGTGTCACAGAATTGTTCAAGAGTATCAAGGCATGTAGACTCACACATACCATGGGTTTCATCCATCGAATCAACTAGGGAGCCATAGGCCATCATTCATAGTGCAATAGTAACCTTTTGATGAGGTGAAAAACCATGGCGGCCTGCTCTGTCCCGTTTCTGTTGAAAGTATGGATTGACCTGTTGGACATCATGAAGTAAACGCTCGAAGACATAACGTCTCATCCGGAAGTGACGTCTGAAATCCTATTCAGTGTATACCGAGTTGGGGTAAGTAGTTGTTCATCAGATTGGCATGCGTCATTGCTCTGTTTCGTGGTTTGTAAGAGCAACCAGCAACAGAGCCACCCCAATGAGGTTGTTCCTTAGTTGGCTGACACACTATGGCCGCAGCCATGGCTACTGCTCTGTTTTGTTTGTTACGCCTTACTTGAACTTCTTCATCAGACTCCTTATATTCTCGTCTCATTTGTGCCCATTTTTCTTCCAATTTGGAATTGGATGAGGACCCCCAGTTGGAATCCGAATAGGATCCAAAGTTGGAATTCATTGCAAACTTGAATTGAAAGAGATTGAATTGAAAAAGATTGAATTGAACTAGATTGAATTCAAAGTTGTGTGAATTATAGCCCAATATCCACCATATTTCTAGCAAAAAAAATTCAAATCCAACGGCTAGCTGACGTCACTTAGCCGTTGGATTTGAATTTAAGTTGTAGTTTTTAAATAATAAATTATTTTTGGTCCTATGGCCCTTTCGTCCTCGGTTGGAGACGGTTTTTTGTGACAGGGTTAAAACGAGCCTAAGGTCATCTCCAACCAAAGGTGGGCCAAAATGCTTGTTTTAGTCCTCCGGCCTTCCAAGAAATTAATAATTTAATAAACAGTGCAGGACTATATTTCTTATTATCTCCAACCGAGGGGCTAAAGGGCCATAGGCCAAACATAGCCCTGTGAAAAAAAAATCATCTCCAACCGAGGGTCAAAGGGCCATACATAATTTATTATTTTAATTGAATTACTATGGTTACTTAAATTAAATTACCTCAATAATTTTATGTTATGGATTGTCAATAATTTTCATGTTGTTAAATGTTTTTAAAAATGTTGTTTAAGTTTTATGTTGTTAATTTTTTTTATGTTGTTTAATGTTATTGAATGTTGTTTAATATTATTTAATGTTGTTTCATGGTACTTAATGTTATTTAATGTTGTTTAATATTGTTTCATGTTACTTAATGTTATTTAATGTTGTTTAATGACTTAAGAAGTTATAAGGAAAAAAAAATTTGTAAAAAAAATAAAAAAAAATAAAATATGACTTTAGCATGTGGCCCCGCTGGCTGAGTTAGGCCAGCCGGTTGGCCCTTTGATCATTTTTTGTCCAGTGGGACTTACGAGCCATTTGGCCTGGCCCTTGGTTGGAGACAATTTTCGGGCTATTTTCGATCTTTGACCCTCTGAACTCTTCAGTTGGAGATGGTCCAAACTTCTAATTTCTCCGATGGTAAGAAACAAAAAGTATCGGGTCAGCTGTAACATTGGTAGGTGGCTGGGTGTACAGTGGGTACAAGAAGTCATGCATGGCTTGGCTGTGCTTGATATGTTAATGACCATCGAATCGTGACCTACCACCAACCTACTAATTTCTTCCTGAAAGATGCTCTGTGAGCTCCGTGCACTCTCTCAGACTGAAAGAGATGGGAGGGAGAGAGAGAGAGAGGAATACGAACACCTTCAATTTAACTTTTATTTAACTTATTAGGTAAAATGTACGAGTATGGAGACCTAGCTAGTAGAGAAGAATTCTCAAAGCTACAATAACAGTTTTACAATTGAAGACGATTAGATTCTTATTTGAATGAGCGGTTCAAATTTGTAGTACCGCTACATATACCCGAATCATTTCCAGTCATTTAATGGTCAAGGACGGAGTTAGGATTTTTTTCTTGGGTCGGCTAGTTGAAGATAGTACCATAAAATCATGTGTTTATTTTTTTGCTTATATAAAATATATAATAATCAATATAAAAGAATAACAATATAATATAAACTATTCTCAAAATCATAACCCTAACCGATAAATTCAAGGACCATATAAATAATTAACCTACTAATTAAATTAAGAATAAGTAAATAAAGAGATTAAGAACGTACCAAATGTTACATTCATTGAAAAATTGCAACGGAAAGTCAGGAATTGCGGAGATAGGGATTTAATTGTGCATTTAAAGAACTTATTAATCTTTTATTGGGTAAGAAGCAAAGAGGCTAAATTACATAGGGTAAATCATCTTTTTCTTTAAAGAATAGAATAAAGGGGGACTGGAGATAGAACTATGTTATAATTTTTGCATAAAACTATTATTTACTACGTCTTCTCTACTAAATATACATTAAATAATAATATGTATTGAAATTGAGTAGGCTATAAGCATGAGTTTACAAAAGAATAGATCTGTTCACAAACCCATTTTTACTTCCAACACAGCCTTATTAATATTTTGTCAGTAATCATTTTCAATTCATTCGATCTGAACAACCAACAATTAAGAGAGGTGTGTAAGAAATAAAAATGAGTGCATGGATAACACTACCCTTACAAAAAACCTCCCTGAGCTACAACCTACCTTAGCCTTGTGGGTGGCTACGCCATTGTTAATGGTTAATTACTCTTGCATTATTGAACGGGCTGAGTTTCATGCTTTTATTCTCTTCTAAGACAGTGAGACATACTAGCTAGGAGGCTCAAGAATAACACAAAAAAGTGAAAAGGTTAAGTCAGAAAAATAGACCAAACTTTGTCCCTACGGGAAACAAAAAGATGATGCATATATATCTGATATCCTCATATCCTTCTGCAGAAAAAGGGAAAAGTTTTAGACCGAGATAAGAACTCCAACGCAAGAGATCAAATTCTCTACTTTTTCTTTAGCTTCAAAGGATCTGCATGCTTTTCACGCGCATGCATGCAGCAATGTCGTCTCCAAGAATTTCCTAGGCATGCTTTATCCACCTGGTTTGTGATTTACCCTTCACTTCCTTTCAAAAGAAAAGCCAGACCAAGACAATCTCGCTGCTTAAAGGCGATTTTATTAGCTAGCTAGCTTATCCTAAGATTCTTTTTTAAGGGTTTCGTCGTGATACGGAATGTTTGTTCTGTTTTAATATTAACTTGCGATTAAGGGCAGGCTATCATCTTCCGCAGTACCCTAAGAACTACGACTGGAAAATTGGAAATATCTGTTGGGTCGGCATCCTCATAGATTAGTCGGCATTGGCGGCAAAATCTTTGTCTGTAGGCGGTGGGATACGGTACTCTTTTGAAGTCAGTGCTTTGGTGGACTTCTGTTTTGGCACGGAAAATTGTTCAAACAGTTTAATATTGAAAATCTTAGATATCTGTCACCACTGAAAAAGTTCAATCACGACATTTTTTCTGGATTTCGTATGACAATATTGATCTGAGTGGTTTTAGATCGCACACATTAATTGTATGTTTGATACCGACGAGCATTTTTGTTTTGGGAATTTGACAAAGTCAGATTGTCCAAGTGCGCCATTTCAAACCATTGAATGCGAGTTTCAGAATCTCTGGTACAAAAAAAAATCAACTATTTATCATCAACAGTAGTTCACATGAACTAATTTCATGACATTGAAAAATCGTGAATGTTGTGGTGATCAACGATGAAAAAAATGCAAATCACAAATAAAATTACTAATTCAATGTGTGTTCAATGTAGACATAGATGTAGCCACATTAACTAGAGCATATATGCCCCTTTATGCACCCGAGTTTCAATCACATAAACTCAAGCAATACTATTTGCTTAATATTAATATGCACATTAAGCTGAATTAATTAAGATCATTCATAACTTATTCAGGCAAAACCACTTTGTTTAGAGCAAATGTGCTTCGTATACACCGGACTTTGAATTCTCTCATCGAAGTTTAGATTAGTTAAAAGTACAATATCGTGTTCATCAAAGAAAAAACATTCAATATGTATTTTGGTACAAAATATGTATTACTTGGGCCATAAAGACTCCTTTTATTCAATCCAATGTGCAATATCAAGCTTACAACCCAATCCAGAAAAAACCAACCCAACCTAAAGTCCAGTCCAATAGAATTCAGCCCAAGCCCATTTCAAAATGAACACCTACCCATTTCTCAACTGGGGTTTTTGAACTTGTGATCTTCTTCATTAACCAGCTTAAACCCTAACCCCTCCAAACCGGCCACCATGTCGCTCCTCCGTCGAATCCCCCATAAACCCCAAAATTCCCGATCTGTCCTCACCTACGCCACCCGTTTCTTCTCGACCCAAAACCCTACCCTCACCCCTTTCCCTGACGTCCCCACCACCGCCTACTACGACAACCTGGTCATCGCCGCTGGCCACTCCAGAGACTTCGACAACCTCCACTACCTCCTCAACAAGCGCGTCAAGGACCACTGCTTCAACACCACCAACACCTTCAGGTTCCTCACCAACACGGACTCCTCCCTCTCCGTACTCGACGACCTCACCAAAACCCTAGCGCGTCTCGACCGGGGGTTCACCCGCAAGAGCGCGTACGACTCGCTCATCGCGCGTCTCTGTAAGATCGAGAGGGTCGATGAGGCGCTGCGCGTGGTGGATTTTATGGCGCGTGGCGACTACGGCCTCAACGCCTGCACCTTTCACCCGATCCTCAACGTGGTTACCCGGAAGAAGAGAATGGACGACGCGTGGGGCGTGGTGGATCTGATGAGGAGAGTCGGAGCCCCGCCGGATGTCCCGGCGTTTAATTATCTGCTGATGGCGTACTGTTTCTCCGGAGATTTGGAAGCGACAGCCGGAGTGCTGACGAGAATGGAAGCAGAGGGGATGAGGGCGGACACGCGCACGTACGACGCGCTGGTTCTTGGCGCGTGTAAGGCAGGGAAGGTGGAGGGGGCTCTGGTGCTGATAAGGAGGATGGTGGACGATGAGGTGCCGGCGCTGCTGTCGACACACGTGTACGTCATTGATTCGCTGCTGGGAAAGGGGTTTTACTCGCAGGCGGTAAAGTTTGTGAGGAGTTTTAGCGGGAGGGACACGTGGCTGGACACGGAGAGTTTTGGGAGCTTGGCCAAGAAGCTGATTAAGTTGAGGAGGCTTAAGGAGGCTAAACTGGTTTTTGAGGAAATGAATGCGAGGGGTTTAGTGATTGGTGATAAATTGAAGGATTCTTATGAGAAGATTAAGAATTATGATTAAAATTTGATTGGGTTATCCATACCATTTTGGGTCCACCACTTATTGAGTAGTTATCCCTTTGATTCTTTGGTTGTATATAAATTACTTGAAATATTGAAAGGTAGTTTGAAGTGCTTAAATAATAAACCAGATTACGTATCTTGTTTTAACGTGTTTGTGTCGTATTATTTTCTTGTCGTGTGAGATTATAAATAACTCAATGGCTCATCCGCTTATCGTTTCCAGATATAAAAAACTCAAACTCATTCGCAAAATCTTAACTGTATTCTACCGATATCTCTAAGTATTTTGTCAATTGAAAAAGAGTAAATTGTAGCAATGGTCCATTAACTTTAATCAAATTGAAAAATAGTATTTTGTCTATTATCATTAGTCCATCAACTCATCAAAATGTGTAGCTACGATCATTTTCGTCAACTTCGTCAGAATTTTATCAAAATAAGTTATTTTGGAAGGACCATTGCTACAATTAGGATCTCTCAACTCATCAAAACGTGTAGCTATGGTCATTTTCATCAACTTCATCATAATTTTGTCAAAATAATTATGTTAGAATGATCATTGCTACAATTGGGTCAAATGTAAGGGACCATTGCTCAAATTGGGTTAAAGTTGGGGACCAATGGTAATGAATTTTTTGTTGAAGGATCATAGCTGCACATTTTGATGAGTTAAGAGACCAATGGTAATGAATTTTTAGTTGAGGGACCATTACTCAAACTGAGTTAAAGTTAAAAAATCATTATTACAATTTACTCATTGAAAAATATATAGCATTAACAATAAATATAACATTAATAAAAAACACTAATTAGACATGTTATCGTTAATTTTCGTGCTTTGTTCATATCGTGTTATCATGTGTATTTGTTTTTTTTATTTTTTCCAAATCGTGTATTATTTTGGAAGGGTAAATGTGGTAAGTGCATTTGTAAATAGGTTTTGTTTGCCAAATTTCTCATCATTATTCTTAATTAATTTTCACAAGCACTTAAAGAGGTTTTAGTAGTCCGGCCAACGCCAATAGGGCAGCTGACGTCAGTGCCGGCGGATTGCACGCCCAGATTCCCATGTGCTTCTCACTCCGATCTTTTCCTTCATCTGTCGATCATTAGTCATTACCCTCACCGACAACTCCCACTCCCAATCTCTCTCTCGACCACCTCGGCACCCAAACCCGTATCTGTCCATGGACCGCCCGACCCGTACCCACGCCCCGGCAGGCCGCGACGATTGTTGGAGTGAGGACGCCACGTTGGCACTAACAACGGCCTGGGGCGACCGCTACCTCCATTTAAACCGCGGCATCCTCCGTCAGAAAGACTGGAAGGAGGTGGCCGACGCCGTTAACTCCCATCAGAACGGCGGCGCCAAGCCGTTCAAGACGGACGTCCAGTGCAAGAACCGCATCGACACGTTGAAGAAAAAGTACAAGCTGGAAAAGTCGAAGCCCGGCCCGTCCACGTGGCCCTTCTACCGCCGCCTCCACTCCATAATCTGCTCAACCCCCTCAAACACCGCCGGTGCGACCAAACCAAACCCCCCAATCCTCGCTCTCACTGCCAAATCCCCCGACCCGAATACGAATCCCCTCGGAGGGTCCACCGACAGCTCAATTCGCCGCGACGACGGCGGTGATGAGGCGGCGGTGTTTTCGGGTGGGGCGGCGTGCAGGGAATTGGCTAGGGCAATTTCGAAGTTTGGGGAAATGTACGAGAGGATTGAGAATTCGAAGCGGAAGCAGATGATGGAGCTGGAGAAACAGAGGATGGAGTTCGAGAAGGAGCTCGCGTTGCAGAGGTTGAATATGTTCATGGATGTTCAGGTGGAGCTGGGGAAGAAGATGAAGCGCCCCAAGTACTCGCATTCTTCAGGTGCCGCCATTGTTCAGAACTTCAACTTCAATTTGAATTTGTTTATGGGTTTTATTTGATCATTAAGAGTTATTGCAATGTGATCGATTTCAGGGTCGGTTGATTATTAATTTTTTTTTTTTGGACACATGATGGTGTTAGTCGGTTAAATTGTTAGTTGTTAGAGAGAGGTAAATTGGCGAAGATCAAATTTGCACTAGGGTGGATAACCATTTCGTTTTTCTGTTTCTTCTATTTGTGTTCTTATGACATTTTGTGTTTCAATAGGGAAGAAATCATAGAAGTTTTAAATGCACGACGCATGAGAAGGATTTGCATGTAACTGAGACGTCAAGGCGACGGTGTCTCATTCTAATTACATTATTGTAACTGAATAGTTGTTTTGCTTCGTAATTATTGTACATTATGTTTCCGATATCTGTAGTGTAATATTGTGTGTCAATAATCACATAATTCCTACTTCCCAATTGTTCATTTTTATGAGAAATTAAGTCCACACATTTCAAATTACCAACAAAGAGAGAGAGAGAGAGAGAGCACGAATTCAGAGTATATATGACGAATAGCTAAAATCACTAGTTTGTCCATGCTGGCTGATCAATTCAGATGCGTTCTGGCTGAAATTGTTACCGTTTAATCCACTCCAAGCCGGAAATCCAGAGAAAGTACCCTCATCTAACATGGGACAACAAGAACATGACGACGACGATGAGGGCGAATTCTTCGGAGCATAGCAAACGAGACGAGCTCGAGCAATGGCCAGATCATGCTGTAACTGAATCATCTTCCTTTCCAACATAGATATGGCGCCAATGCAGCCGTAAACAGGGTCTCTCAGCCTTGCTTCGGCCTCATAAGCCAGCGAATTCACCGTGTCCGCGCGCTGATCCTCGGGGACTTCGGTTAGGATCTTGCTCACATTGCTTGCTCCGAACACTTTGTGAACTTGGGCGAATTTTTTGGGCTCGTCGGAGCGGAAATAGGGTGCGAAAATGCAGGTGGGAGTGCATCTTCTCTTGAGTGACTTGCAAGCTGCGCAAGATGAGCTTGAACGGGGTTCATGACTTCCCTTCATGGCTAATTAGAAAATAAAATTTAATTTCTCTAATGAGTAATTTCCTTTCCATCACATGCATATATATATAGCCTTGTGCATATATAACAAAATTTGAAATGGTTATTGCGGTTATGGAATGATCAATTAAAAGTACTGTCATGTTATTGATACATTTTCGACAATATCAATGTGTGTTCGTGCTTTATAAAAAAAAACATCGTGCACAAAGAATGTTTGTTTTTATGATATTCAAAATCCAAATCATGCTTTAGTTGGATTGAGTGTCATGCAAGTTGCAAGTTTCTAAATTTACCTTTTACATTTTTTTTTGGCTAAAAGTTTACCATTTCAGGGTTAGGATATACCATAAGTCTTTTTAAGAACTTACAAATTAAGTCTTAATCTTTTTTTTTTTTTTTTAAAAACTAATGAAAATGGCTTGAAAACTTTGAGTTTTAACGATAAGGACAAAATAAAAGGTAAAGTGAATAGTACCATAATTGATTTTTTAGTGTAAAAATATGGTTTTTCGTTAAAGTGAACAATACCGGAAACTTTTTGTTAAAATTCCATATTTTTTTTTGTTTTGACAGATCGCCTACCAAGAGGTATTGTCAACAGTGAAATTCGAATCTAGGCATTGATTTAACCAAAAAAAAATCATTACCAACTCAATCAAACCCGTTGACTATTTACCTTTTACATTTTCATGATTCAACATTTATTCATTTTTTAAATCAAATTATGTATTTTAACTTTTAGAAAAAGAAAAAAAAACCCTACAAAAAGTTGCTCAGTTTCCCTTTTGTGTACCGTTTTAGGTTCCACCCGCATTTCGTCACTCTTTCTCGGATATTTTTGACCAAGTGAGGAATATAATGTCACTTCAAACGTTGTGGTGGTCGAGTAAGAGTGGAAATGCAATAAAAACGACAACAATAGTCCATAGTGCTACTCCCTTCAAGAACCCACTCCCACATGATGCATGTCGTTTTCCCAAACACACACAAAGACAACTGCACGATGGAATGTGTCTTCACGCGTTAATTTTGGTTCTAAACTCAACCCAACTATTGCTCAACACGCTCGCGAATGACGCGTGGGGCCAAATGTGCATAGAGAAAGGAATATGGACCGACCCAAAATTGAATGATTGGGATGGGAGAGATTTTGTATTTTGAAACACATCAAGGGTTCCACTTTGAAAAGAAAGAGAGATTCCTCTTTGAGTTTGAGGAACATAGAATTGTGTTAAGTCACGTCCGCAGATGCCTACACACACTATGAACAAATTTCATTTTTATTTTTTTATTGTGATGTGTGATTAGTTTTTAAAATTCTAAAAAAAAAAAAAATATCTGTTATGAAAGTTGGGACAGTGATGAGCCGTTGTTTTTTAAATTTTAAAACTAGCATATGGGCACACATAAAATGTGTAAGAAATTTTTTTATTTTTGTTTTTGAAATAGAAAGAGAGAGGAAGGGAGTGATAGATAATGTGCGAGTGATAGATAATGTGGAAGTGAGAAGTTTTTTTTTTAATTTTTATTTTTTAATTAGAGATATGTTAGGATTACATGTAGGTGATATTTTGAAAAAAAAAACAAAAACAAAATTTGGTTGTGTGAAATTACATTTCTGCCTCATATTTCTTATTCATATTCTGTTTTAATTAGATAGTTAAATTGGTAATTTCATATGGTTTTGGTTGATAATGAGTGTTTTATTAATTAGTGGAGATAGGGGATGCTATACTACTTGCAGCAGCGGAGCCACTAAAGGACAAGGGTAGTCATGGGCCTATCCTGCAATTTTTTTTCCCTTTTCTATGTATAAAATATAACATAACCTCATTTATTTCTGGTAAGTTTAGTTGCAATCTTGAAATTCATGGATTTGAGATTCTCTTATTCTAGTTATAATGATGTAGCTTCTTCAACTTGTTAATTACTTCACGTTCATCTTTGGACGGAGGAGATTAATTTAGGTCAAAGTTTTTTACCGCGGTAATTGAATCTAATTGTCAGGATTTATCACTTACTCTAAGAATGTTGGCTGATATTTTTCTTTGTTGGCTTGAACTTCTAGTCCATCTGCTCTTACATATTAGTTGGATTATGTGACTATATGGTTGATGCGGTATGATATTTTTCTGAGTTGAGATAAATAAATCGAAATACAACCAATCTATCTCGTATTTTAGCCATTAAAAAATAAAGTTTCATATTTGTGAAAGGCCCCCCGTGATGTAAGATATTGGCTCCACCACTGACTACTTGCCTGTGAGGTTGCTGTTAAAAACAAATTTATGTTTACATAATTACTAAATTGTCTATATTTTTTATTTTTGTTCAACTTTAGTGAGAAGGTTAAAATAGTAGTTTCGGGGAATTTTGACTGACAACCATATTCTATTAAAAAGTAGTGTAGATAATAAATGAGCGAGGGAGGGAGTTTGAGTAAGTGGGCTTCTGAGAAGGGAGACTACCACGGCAGGCCCAATAATGTGTAGGCTGCACGACGACTTGGACGTTAACTTAGCAGTACTAAAACACTTATGCAGTTGCACCATATGATGTTAAGAAATACGATTATTATTACATTACTAGTAACTAAAAGATAATAAAATATGAGTGGTGTTATTTACACATCTATTTTTTTCACTTCTCACATATTTTTTTTAATTTTCGATCATTGAATCGATATATTAAAGAAGATCAATTGATAAAAATAAATAAAGGTGTATTGAAAATAAGTAAAACTAATGAAAATGGCTTGAAAACTTTGAGTTTTAACGAAAAATACAAAATAAAGGGTAAAATGAATAGTATTATGTTTGACTTTTTAGTGTAAAAATATGATTTTTCGTTAAAGTGAATAGTACCGCGAGTTTTTCGTTAAAACTCTCTTGAAAATAAGATGGGGTTTCATTCTTTTGTTGTTTAGCAAGAAAGGCAGTGGATTTATAGTCTAACTGTATTATTATTATTATTATTAATTATGGGGATGACCGGTACTATGTACAAGAAGTCGACTAAAAGCACATAATCCAAACAAAAAGGTTGATTCAGTGGGTAGCCAACAGCCAAGTCAAACAAGCTCTCACACAAAGAAATCTATCTAAACCAAAAATATTAAAACTATTTCCAGTTTAATGATAATTCTCTTTTGTTTTTATTAGCCCATTACTTCGAAATATTTGTCATTTATTTATTATAAAAATTACCATTTGAAAATTCGTTCTCTCTATCTTCATTTAAATATCATATTTGTAAAAAAATCATTCAATCTAATAATCGTTTAGTCATCCATACGTGTTAAACCAATCAACAGTTTTGATAACAAGTAGCATCCTTGTGATGAACCGTCCATTAGTTGTATGCATATTGATGACTAAAAGATATACAAATTGAATAATTTTTTCAAAATATGATACTTAAATGATAATAAAGAGAATTAATGTTCTGATTATGATATTCGGATGGTAATAGTTCGTCAATTATAAGTGGGGATAAGTATGTTCCCTATCGGAGGGACGCAAATATTATCCTACTATTGTTGACCTTCATTACCATGGATTTTCTTTATCAAAAAATATATATACAAAAAAAATAAAAAATTGCCACCATCTTCTTCATCATATATACTAACAACATTCGTGTAATGAATCAGATGAAAACAGAACGACTTAACTCCAAAGGATGGTAGACTTGGTTCATAGTGTAATAAATATAAATCTTGATGGCAGACTTTGTTTAGGCCTAGACCAACGTGTGAAACTTATGGGCAAAGCACGGTCCCATCACCAATATCAATGATATTATCTCAACTTAATCACCTATCATTAGGTCTTAGGTTTTGTCACAAAAGACTTCAGTAATATTAAGGGTAAAAACACTCATATTAATTGTATACTATTTTTTCATATTACCGATGTTGGATCCTATTCTCAAACACAGTAAACAATGAACAATCTAGTGTTTTTTGTTTGAGAGTAAGTATTGACCATTGCTTGAAACTTAGAGGTAATTAAGTGCGTACGAATACGATGGAGGAGCAAACAAACTGCAAAAATAAGAGAAAAGTGGAGATATTATAAATTCTACATATAAAATCGACCCGAGCTATGCATTTATGTAAAATAGTCACGATATATGCACTTTTATTTTCTCTTTCATACGTTCATAAAATGTGTATTTTTTACTGCATTTAGAGTGTCAATGACAACTCCCTATTATTAAGATGAATAAGTTCATCTACCACCGTACTATTTCATGATATTAACAGTTATTAAGAAATTAAGGATAACTAATAGGGTTTAGGGTTTTTATGTTAGGTTTTCTAACTCTCTACTCAATTAACTAAGCTGAATTTAACTTAAGAGTTTTTCTTTTGTGCAATATAACAATACATGAGATTTTAACCTATATCCTAGTGTATGTGTACATAAACTTTTGTTCAACTCTTTGACAATATGAAAAACCAAAAACTTTACCCTCCTTTATCTAAGGGATGGAAAGGCAGAGACCTTTAGTGTTCCTTCAGTCAAGAATTTGGGCCTCAGAATCACTAACCAATACGTATTACTTATCTTCAGAACAATAACGCGAGATTAATTGAAACCACAACCAGTGATGGAATTGCGAAACTTAACCAACTCAGTTGAGAGCTCCGTGACCCGGAGTGAATTCTAGGGAAGGGCAGAACCTCGCCATGCTGTAGGAAGGTGGCTATAGTGTTTCCTTTTCAATCATCTTTCTCGTTTTTTTTTTTTTTTTTGTTCACCTAACTTTTTCTTTTCTTTCTTATATTTTTCCCTCTTAAATTTGACCTCCAAAACCACAAGTCACATCCTTTGTGCTTTTCAACTGTGGGCAAAATCTTTTCATGTGATATATGCAAATTTGTAATTAATAGGCACGTAATTTGCATACGTCGTAAGTTGTAATATGTGTAACTACATGTGTCTGTCTTTAGTTATATTTAGACAGTTTTATAAAAGAAATAGATAAAAAAAAAAATCTTTACGTTCTTTCTCTAATATTGTATTGAGGTCGAAGTATTACCAACTGCAATCGAAATATCAACAATGTCATTAATGCTAATGAATATATTCACACTTTTAAATATTGTAGTTAAATAAATATAATAAGAAACGACTATAAAACTTTTGTAGTTGAACAACCGTAGTTAAAATACATATACAAAGGCGGAGCTAGAATTTTTCAAAGCGATTATGTCACATCCCCGCCTGGGAGGGACCACTTCCCGGGCTTGCTCCATCACCGTAGCACAATATTGTCCGCTTTGGACTTACCATTCCCTCACGGTTTTGTTTTTGGGAACTCACGAACAACTTCCCAGTGGGTCACCCATCCTGGAAGTGCTCTGGCCTCCTTCTCGCTTAACTTCGGAGATCCTACGGAACCCGAAGCCAGTGAGCTTCCAAAAAGCCTAGTGCTAGGTAGGGATGTGAATATACATTTAAGGATCACTCCCCTGAGCGATGTGAGATGTTACAATCCACTCTCCTTAGGGGCCCGACGTCCTCGTCGGCACACTTCTGGCCAGGGATTGGCTCTGATACCATTTGTCACATCTCGGCCCGGGAGAGACCACTTCCCGGGCTTGCTTCATCACCGTAGCACAATATTGTCCGTTTTTGGCTTATCATTCCCTCACGGTTTTGTTTTTGGAAACTCACGAGCAACTTCCCAGTGGGTCACCCATCCTGGGAGTGCTCTGGCCTCTTTCTCGCTTAACTTCGGAGTTCCTACGGAATCCGAAGCCAGTGAGCTCCCAAAAGGTCTCGTGCTAGGTAGAGATGTGAATATACATTTAAGGATCACTCCCCTTGACGATGTGAGATGTTACAGATTAGGCTAATATTACTCGAGCAAAAAAGAAGGGAAAATGAAAAGCGAAGACAACCAATCATTTGATCAAAAACCACCTTTGGAGCCTAAGCACAACTCCTCCATTACATGTAGACACACTCTAATAAAACCAAATTCTACCGTTATTAGTAAGGTCATCTGTATTACAGAGTGAGTCAACTCTACGTGTTCAAAGAGCATTACTCAATAAATAATTATAGCACTAGTAGTCAGATCAAATTTTCTTCCCAAAAGTCTATATTTTTTGTATGTGCGCGCCAAACACTCAACGTTTCCTAATAAGATATTCCATATATGGACATGAGAAACCTGCAACTTGCAGGTGCAAGGTATTGTAGTAGGCCACCGAATTCAAGTTTGAAATGGCTTCAATATCCATTCAACGTATCCAAACCATTTTTTAATGCAAATTTGGCGGGGGAAATATAAAAAAGAAGTGGAAAGCGATCCTCTCTCCGGATCCCTTCTGCCAAATCCACTAATACCACAAATCCGGACCTTTGAAATTTGATCAAACGGCTACAAACAGGAGTATTCTTTAAAAGTTATAATAACTTTATCCGTTGGATCAAATTTCAAAGATCCGGATTTATGACCTTGGTAGACTTGGTGGAAGCGATTGGGAGAGGATCCCTTTCCAAAAGAAGTAACCCTAGGAGGCCGACGTGCCTCCAAGTGGCAGCAACCCATCAGTCCCTCCCTCACCCCTTCTGTCCTTCACTTGCCATCACCTTTTCTTTTGTCCTCTAATGTCAACTTTCCAAACAGAAACAGTCAAGAGTCCATGCAATTACATTATTCGTTTCTTTCTTTACCCATCACTTTAATTTTTAACACAAGAAATTGAGAATAATATGTTGATTTTTTGTTTTTTTGTTTCGAGAAATTAGAAACGTTCTTCTTGTCAAGATTTCAACGAAAAGGGTATCGAAAGAGTTTCGTTTGCTCTCTCTGGTCTGAACTTGAATCCTAAACCCTAAACTGCAAAGGCAGAACCGAGCATTTTCGCTCGTTGATCCATTTTCGAACGTCAATCGCAGAAAATTTTGGTACGAGAATTGGCATAAGCATAGTGACATATGAAATGGAAGCAGCTCTTGTTCCTCCTCTAATGGTTTCCACAGGATTTTTGCCAACTGGGTCGTTGTTACAGTCGTTGGTTCACATATGCAACGAAGTTTGCTCCATGGAAAAGCTTCCGGTTCTACAGGGCCGGAACATCTCCACCATGATAAGGAGGATCAAGCTTCTCGCTTCTCTGTTCGAAGAGATACAAGAGTCCGACGGGCCGCTTCCTCCCTCTTCAATCCTATGCCTCACGGAGCTTTTCTCCGTGATTCGAAGAGCCAAGTTTCTGATCCAAGATTGTAAAGACGGGAGCTCTCTGTGGGGGCTTATGCAGACGGAGTTGGTTTCGAATCAGTTTTACGTGCTGGTCAAGGAGTTGGGGAGGGCGCATGATATTTTGCCTCTGAGTTTGCTTAACGTGACGGCAGATATCAAAGAGCAGATCGAGCTCCTCCACCGGCAAGCGAAAAGAACGGAGCTTTTTATCGATCTCAAAGAGCTGCAGAGAAGAGAAGAGCTTTTGGTTTTGATGGGAAGCAATAGTGAGAAGAACAGGAAGAACAAAGGGTTCATAGATTTGGTCAAAGTGAGAGATGTTCTGAGCAGCATTGGCCTGAGAAACGCCGTGGATTACGAAGAAGAAACTTCAAAGCTCGAGGCAGAAGCTCACAAGCAAGCAGGGAGTGGAGGGCTGATTGTGGTGTCCAACATAAACAATCTTATTTCCCTTGTGTCGTACTGCAAAACCATCATTTTTATAGATGGTGAAATCGAAAAACCGTGTAAAGAGGATATGAAACTGCACTGTCTCCCCTCGGGTAGATTTTATGATCACTCTTCATCTTCTCAGTCGTTGATCCCCAATGTTCCGGATGAATTTCGCTGCCCGATTTCATTGGACTTGATTAGAGACCCTGTTATTGTAGCATCCGGGCACACTTATGATCGAAATTCGATTGCACAATGGATAAATTCGGGGCACCAGACATGTCCCAAAAGCGGGCAGAAGCTGATTCACATGGCGCTTATTCCCAACTACGCACTCAGGAGTCTAATGCAACAATGGTGTGAGGAGAACAACGTTCCCACAACTGAATCCTCGCAGTCTTCTTCCTCCGATTTGGCGAGGAGCAGCAGCAAAAGGGAGTTGTACGAAAATGCTGTCGATCACATTTCTGTCGTGAAAGCTGCTGCTGATGCTGTGAAATTGACAGCTGAGTTTCTGGTGGGAAAACTAGCAACTGGCTCCCCAGATATCCAAAGGCAAGCGGCCTATGAGCTCCGATTACTTGCCAAAACCGGCATGGATAATAGAAGGATAATAGCAGAGGCCGGAGCTATTCCATTTCTAGTGACGTTGCTGAGATCCCATGAACCGAGAATTCAGGAAAACGCTGTCACAGCGTTGCTCAACCTCTCCATCTACAACAACAACAAGATTCTGATCATGGCGGCTGGAGCAATTGACGAAATAGTAAACGTCTTGGAATCGGGGAACACAATGGAAGCAAGAGAGAATGCAGCAGCAGCAATTTTCAGCTTGTCGATGATAGATGACTGCAAGATAACGATTGGAAAGCGCCCTAGAGCCATTCCGGCATTGGTGGGGCTTTTGAAAGAAGGCACTCCGGCTGGTAAAAAAGATGCTGCCGTAGCACTCTTCAATCTTGCACTCTACAATGCCAACAAGGTGAGCATTGTGTTCGCCGGGGCGGTTCCTCTGCTCATCGAGCTGTTGATGGACGACAAGGCGGGAATTACAGATGATGCCTTGGCACTGCTTGCTCAGATTTTGGGTTGCTCTGAAGGACTGCAGGAGATTGGGAAGAGCAGGATATTAGTGCCTATTCTTATCGATCTCTTAAGATTTGGTTCACCGAAAGGGAAGGAAAACGCGATCACTCTTCTGTTGGGGCTGTGCAAAGATGGAGGAGAGGAGGTCGCAAGACGGCTGTTGATGAACCCGCGGAGCATTCCTTCACTCCAAAGCTTGGCTGCAGACGGTTCCTTGAAAGCTCGAAGAAAAGCTGACGCAGTGCTTCGATTACTGAACAGGTGCTGCTTCCAATCTCACGACCAGATTGGATGACAGTGTTGAAAGAGTGTTTTGTTAGATACAGTTCCAAGTGTATATTTGTGCAAATCAAGCACAGAAATGAAAGTGTTGATTAATTACTGCAAATCTTCTTCAGCTGCAGATTCAACTTTCAAGAACTGCGCTACTCTTTTGTTAAAGATTCGCGTCGAATAATTTGGCATACCGGTTATGTTTCTTGCCGGATCTACTCTCGAAATTTCACAGTTGGTGCTCGAACAAAATGATACACACTATACATTTATTGAAAACGAAATAATCGGATACATTTCATTGCTTCATTTTTACATCAGTTTCTCCAGGAGGAAACAACCTTTCCCCCTCACCGATAATGAAAGAAACAATGGATACAATGAGCTGCCGGAGTGAACCCTAAAGAGGAAAAAGAAGAAACAATTCCGAAGACGAAAATGGTTTAACTGTGTTAAACCAATCAGAGCTGAATGCTGATATTATGAGGGTGAGTTCCACATCCACCGGTGAACCACGATTCACCTATGGTGAGGATGAGTATTTTGTATTGTGCTTTACAACTCTACCAATTCCAACTGAATATGTGTGCCCTTTAACCTGTATTCCCAATGCCAGCTTCCACCATCCATCATGTTCTGTTCAATAGGTTCAAGTCGGGAGTCGAAACCTGTAAAATCAATTAAACGATGGATGAATTGGTGAGTGATTGCCTAGCACATATTTATGTATGTGACAATGAATTCAGGTCTGCGTGCGTGTAAGAGAGAAGGGGGTCATTTCTAACCATCAACGTTAGGCTCAACTACCTCTCCCTAAATTTTCTTTTTTTTTTTCAAATCAGAAAGGAAAAGGCCGACAACTATCCTCCCCCCTTCCTTGGATTGCAAAGGATATGGTTCGTATTGGACTAAGAGAGCTCTTCAGTTCAGTTTGGTATTTTGCGTAGCAGGATATCAAAGTACCATTCACATGCTCACATTCCCAAGTATAATGAGTAATGTGTTATGCTGATTATCTGGAAGAGTGCTTTTAAGAAAAGTCATTCTAGTCGGGGTTAGATATCTGCAGTTAACGGAAAAAAACTAACCAACTAAGCTATCAAAGCCTCTTAATCTTATGTACCTGATTCTCCAGCTGTGATCTTCATTCAGTAGCCATTTGGAACTTCAAATGTGTGATTTCCCTGCATCCGGTTGTAAGCAGCAAATAAGCTTCCTAAATTTACTTGTAAGATAAATGCATACCAGCTACCAGCTGGAAAGGTGAACTCCGAACAATTAGATGTTAATATTAAAAATCTCTTGAAAAGCCTTTGAAATTCAACGATTTCTGAACAGTTTTGTCTACCCTCCATGCATATCTATACTAATTGGTTGTCAATCTAACCTGTAAGGTAACATCAGTTGCCCCAAATTCAGCATTTCCATGTAGCACGACCTTACATGCCTCAATGCGTTTAACATCATGCTTCCAGTACACATTGTCTTCAAAATTCCAGTCAATTCCATCATTTAGCACCTTTACATTCTGTAATTTACATCTTCCACACCTATGGGATGGACAGACTGTAAGTATAAGTCCAATTGTAAAATGGACTCATCGTTTCTGAAGAGACTTAAAAAATAAAAAGTAGTAGAAATTAAAGCAAAAATCTACCTGTGCCCGTATTGTAAAATGGGTTCGCCGCTTTGATCAATCCTAGTTGAGCCCATAACGTTGGCAGCCTCTACAATCAGGCTTCCATCAAGCTGAAATGTAGGAAGCAGTGATTAGCAAAGGAAACAAAAACTTCATAATCCTTAATTTAATATGTGAAAAGTATGAACCTGAACATTCCTCCACAGGAACTCTGCAACCTCTACTTGTAACTCAGAGCCCTCGGATATTGAGCCTCCATAGAACTAATAGACAAAGACAATTTTCTGCTTAACTATTGAGTTCTTCAATATTTGAATGAAGAAAGTAAATAAAATATACACAGCAAAGTAAAGGGAGAAAATGCGCTGAACCTTAAAATCGTGCATTAGCTCACATTGACTTACTTTTTGTCTGGTGACCTCCCAAAGTGGGCCAAGAGCAGGGTGCAGAAGAATAAGAAATGGTGGTCCAGAACTTTGATATTTTTCATTACTTTCAATCTGCAGCATATCAGAAGTAGAATACCATAACTGAGCATAAAAAAGAAATTCATAAAAAACAAAAAACTCTATGGCTTGCTACAAGGATTAAATGAATTTGCATTGAGAAAATACTTGGGAGCTGTTTGGTATCCTTCTTGGATCCAAATTTTTTTGTTTTTTGAAACTAATGAGGACTAAGTAACGTAGCTACATTCATCATTTTTTAAAACTTATACAATTGTTTTCAAATTGAATACCAAACAACCCCTTAGCATCTAGTGATAGCTCACACCATGTGGAAGTAATTAACATTATTACAAAAGAATTAAGGGGATGTACCTCAGGAAGTTCAATATCACATTGTGAAAGAAGATCATGGGCATTCCGTAGGATATCCAACAGTGGACCATCAGGAGTCTGCACATGAATTCAACCTAAACATATTAAACTTAGGGAGAAAATTACGTCTATACTGTGCCAAAACTTAATTCAGTCCAAGCTCTACTTCTAAATTGGAGACAGAGAACACATACATACTTGGTGCAAAGATTTCTCTGCATGTCTTCTTTTTCTCTTAGCAGATGATGTGACCCTTCTTCGTTCATTATAAACAATGAATGTATCAAGCTTATCTGCCAACAGTTATAGCCACTAAAGTTATTGATAAGCATAAAACATAACGGGAATTGGTATGCATCAATGATCCACCATATAGACAGAAATAATACCTTCAATACCCTTATAATATCGAGATGGACATGTATTAAGAAAGCTGTCAGCAATATTTTGCATTGTGCATTCAAGCCTTCCACCAGAGACACTGTGACAAATGAAAAGTGATCAGAGACTGGCTAATAATCATTCATGTGTACAAGTTCTGACTCTTCTTATGGTGCACACTGTAATGGTTAGCATACCATGCAGAGTTACTAATATTCATTGGTGAAAGAAGGTAATTTGAGGTTATCTTTGCATATCTACTATCAAGTATTACTGATGCAGACAAAATAGTCAATTGTGAAAACAGCACTTTAAAGTTTTAAGAAAGTACCTGTGTTGTTTACCAAATTGGTCTATAAATGTTATAGGCTTTTTAACATTCAGCACCATGCCTGGTAAGCTGTTTCCACTATTACTTGATCCGACCGACTCTGCTGAAGGCAAATCTACATACAAGATGTTTGTATTGGCAGGGAACTCTGCTTGCAACCTTGAACATAGAATGGTTAATTACTGCATAATGAAATTCAGTAATAAGAAATCATATTGAATTTTCCACTCTGCTTCATTCCTAACATGCCAAACTTCACACTTAAAAAAGCATATTCAACAAGATGGGAAATTAGCATAAAGATGATCACTGAATAACAACAATGGAAATATGTAACGGAAAAAAAAAACTATTGTATAAGCTAATATTCTAGTAAGCATGCTGTTCACATGCCAACAAGCATGGGGATATCAAAACACATAAATCATATACATTAGACTAGAGATTTGGATTCATAGAATTGTATACCTATTTCGAGAATGAGGTCCGTCTACTATCTCAAACTTGTCAAACTCTGTATTCGATGCATGGTAAACCATATGCCCACCTTCCATCAAGAATTTTTTTCTCAGTAAGGACATTAATTCCTTCTGTAGCCCCCAAGTTCCTCTTACAGGATGCAAACCCCAGTTTCTGTAGCAAGTAAAGGCAAGTAGTAAAAACAGTAAATGAGAAGAACTTCCAAGTCTCTAAGGACTCTCTAGTAACATAGGTACTGTTTACTGTAAACTCAAACAAACTCCGTAGTCCATAGCAATGGAAATTAGATAAGGAGTAGAGTGTTTGACCTAAACTAGGAACTTCCTGCTCTTTTGCAACTAAGGATTAACTATTTAGCAGGTTCCAGGAAAGAGGGGGATCTAAAATCACTTTTTCACAAGTGTACCTTGCCATGATGTAAACCAATCCCTGCCAGTGCCAAGAGAGTCAAATCCGTAGCCGCCACAACATTGCTGGAAAGCCACCATATATAGGTCAATACAGAGTTTGGCATCCAAATTAACAAAATTTTCCAACAGAAGAAGAATAAGGGACTTATGTTATTAAATATACTACTATGGCTCACCCAACTTGTCGTACAGTTGCACCCTTCCGTCCATGATCATAAAACCATTTGAAAATGCCTTTATCATAAGCAAGTTTCCATATTACACCATGACCACGGGGCTTGCATACGGGTGCAAACGGTTTTGTGATTATCCATTGCCCATTTTCTGCACCAACAGCTGGGACAAGGGGCCGGAAATTCACAAGCAATTATCTCAGCAATGACATTCATTGCTCAAACCAGATAGACTATTACACTGTAGACAACCAATAACAGAAAATAATCTCGTAGTTTCGCACATTAAACCTGTTCAAAAAGTTGGAAACCTGATCGACCTCTTCTAAACCATTCAAGTTTTTCACAAAGAGAAGTTATGTGTTCATGGTTGTTCTTTGCAGCGCTTGTCATAATTGCAACAGGGGTGATGCATTGTTTCCGGTACATCTTAAAGTACAAGAACTCTCTAGCCTTGCAATTCAAACACACAAAATGTAAGATGCATATAACTCCACCATCTACAAAATAATTTTAATGTTAACTCATTCTTGTCAAGTGCTAAGCTTGACAAACAGAGAACTTGTACCTGAAGATCTCTTATAAGACCTTCCAATAAAGTCTGTCCACAATATGGAAGCATTGCGGCAGGGAGACATTCACCTGTGTTGGGATCAACCAAACCAAGCCTGTCCGCAGAACCTCCCAAAGGATAAATTTCACCTAGGTCTGGCAAACCCTAAAATGAATAAGATCATTTAGTTCAAGTGAAACCAATTTTATGTCATTCACGTCAAATGAGCAACATACCCCGGCACCAACCTGAATTCCCCATAAAGCAGCTTGAGATGCATATTCTGCATTTTGAGAAAGATCAATTTCACCGGGAGCATGAATTTCC